TTGGTCCCACGGCTCTGTTCCCTACGAACTGACATTGGAATCAACCCAACAAAGTTCCCACCATCTTCCAATAGAGCTGTCTACGTTCCAGTGCCAAGAGTCCAGAACCAGATGGACGTATCCATCACTCGCCAAATGGTAACCGACCAAGCACATCACAAGGAACTCATTGCAGCAATGACAGCAATGGGAGAAGAGTTCTCATTGAGAGCCGTGACCAGAGACGGAGAACCCGACAACGAAGCCTACGAAAAATGGTCCAAGCAACAGATTGCAAAAACCCAGTTCCAATCGCTCAAACAAGCACTCAAGGCCACCTACGTCGGACTACAACAAGGAATGGAGACGCCAAACCAACAATTGGCAAAGCTCAACATGATCCGATACAAAGGGGGCACGAGGACGTACGACAGCGTGGCTACTTTATTCGGCAGAATTGCCAGGATTCTAAACGGGTTCAACCACGAGAATCCCCCGCCAACCAATCAGACTTGGCAGGAGTAGCGTTCCAAGCCTTCACACAAGAAGTTGTGGCTGAACACCTAGAGACGGGAGAAGCAGGACCGCTACTTATGGACTACCCCAGCAACCTGTCTCAAATGCACCGCCTACGCGAACGAGCTGAGAAGGAAGAGAAGCGCATCAAGCAAATCGTGGGAATTGCAAACAGCGCGGGACGGATCAGACCCAACAGAAGCTACTTTCCGGGACGACCTGCACCACCAAGACCAGGAGGAAGAGCCTTCGCAGGATTCCACCAACCAGAATTCCAAGGATTCCAGGGATTCCAGGACGATTGCTCCTTCCAAGCTCCAGAGATCGAGACTGGGGGAACCTTCCACACCGCAATAATGCCCCCTCCAACTCTGGCGGCAAAACAAAACGTTCGAGTCACCGACGGCCAAGGAAGACAATTAGTGGTCCCGACATCCGACAGCAAACTATACTGCCCGGAAGCGGTTGTCAACATGCTGTCGTGCATGAGTATCATGGAGGAACTCGGACAACAGCAGGAAGAAGAAAATGGGTGGACAATGCTCAGCCAAGCGGAAGAAGCACTGCAAAAGGCAAGCGGCAAGCCATACCCAATCCACTGTTGGGGATGCAAAGAGGAAGGACACAATTTCCGAGACTGCCCACACAAAGAGGACCCCCAAGTCCTAAAACGTTTCTATGAAAAACTGGACCAGTGGAAGCAACAAAAGAACGAAGAACTCAATCGAAATAGAAATAATAATTCCCATTATAGACGAGGAGGATATATGACCCAAGCAATCTGCGATACAGTTCGAGCCATTGAAGATCCACAGACAGAATCGGGAGAGAGGACAAACCTGTTGGTGAATCTTGTCAAAGCGGTCACGGCCCACACTTCCACAGCAGCAGCAAGGAAAAGACCAAAACGGCAGTCAACCCAGCCGGCACTATCATTCGTCACCTTTGGAAGCTTCGCGGCCATGGAACAAGCCCACCAGCTGAACTTCTCGCTCAATGACATACTGGCATTTTGAACTTTCCCATCGGACTCAACAAATCCAACACAGCCAATTTGAAAGGACTCTAAAATACCGGAGGATGCTGCAACATGGGCAAGAAAGACTACCACCTGGCCATCGCAAAACAACATCCGCACCTCGTCAAACAGATCTTCGACCTCCAGAAGATCCGCTACGCTCCAATCAAGATCGGGGGAATCAA